CCATCGGAGCCGTGGCGGACGGCAGGGGTGCCTACTGGAGAAGGAAACCTAATCGTCTGGGAGTGTTTTCTTGGGGAGGAGGAAAGTGATGATTTCTAGAGTTTTTTGTGTGTGCTAATTTTGGAGTTGTTTAGGGATTTGTGAAGGATTTCGCAGCGTCCCTAGCATCGCGGCCAGGCTCCCGGCCCCGAGGCAGCTATAGCGCAGCTATGATGGCTATTTCGTGGGCGATTTAATTTTGTGTCCTTGACACCAAATGGGAAGAAGATTTTTTAAGAAGATTAATTATTACTTGTTGGAAATACAAGATACAGATTAATCAACGCACACACGAAAATATATGTGCCTAGCTAGTGATCCACCACATGAAAAAACGCACATAGACCGGGCTGTTTCAGCAACCATTGAAATTCTGCGGATAATGAAGCGGACCCCTGGCCGTGGCCGACTTCCATGCATATTTACTCACACCAAGGAAGGATCTTCCAGCGTTGGTTCTCTCCTTCACACCACTCCCACAGGACGATAGCCGTGCCGTCGTGCACGCCGCTCTGGCCCTCGCCGGCGTCGAGGGCGTCAAAGTTGAGGCGGATGTTGTTCACCATGCGGACGCAGCGGAAGCCGTCGCCGACGTCCTCGCTCTCTGTCCACAGCACCGACTCGTCCAGGTAGTTCGGGTCGTAGCGCACAAGCCGAACCTGAGGTACAGTATTACACATTCTCAGTTTGCAGTATTGCAGTTGCAGAAACATAATTAGGAAGTTAAGTAACGGTGAACATGTTACTCCCTCCGTCCCAAAATAAGTGTCTTGAGCTTAGTACAAAATTGAGACACTTATTTTGGGACGGAGGGAGTATAAGCTTACAGGGTGGCTCTCTCCAAGGGAATGCTTGATGGCTTCGCCGGTGAGCTTGTTCACCAGGGCGAACGCAGGGTACCCATCCTCGTCCTTGATGCTGGTGCTGCGCCGCATGTCCTTCACCCAGTGCTACATATATTTCGTTTCATATTTATGATTTATTAGCCGGGTCACCAATTAATTAAGATCGATGAGATGGTGATGTTTTGATTATCTGTTGTCACCTGCGAGTCGTCGCCGGGGTCGGTAGGAGCGAGGCACACGGTACCGTCCCTCGCGGCGACGCTGTAGTCCTCGCCGCCGGCGCTGCAGAAGATGCGGACGGTGCACTCGGAAGACAGCGCAGGAGGCAAGCCACCGTCGTACCCTTGGCCTTGGTCCTGTGGCGCCGCATCGTCTCCGCCGTAGCTGAAACGCGTAGTCTCCTGGTCCTGGCCGCCGTGGTACCCGCCGTACTGGTCGTCGTCGCCGTCGGCTGCTGCAGGTGGTGGAGCGTCGGCATCGGTGCCCCACGGTAGGATCTTCCAGCACTGGTTCCCTCCCTCGTTCCACTCCCACAGCCCGACAATGGTGCCGTCCTGAAGCTCCGGCTCGCCCTCGAAGGCGTCAAAGTTGAGGTAAATGTTGCTGACCATGCGGATGCAGCGGAAGCCGTCGCCGACGTCCCTGCTCTGCGTCCACAGCACCGACAGGTCCATCACCGCTGGGTCATACTCGTACGGCACCAGATCGACCTGCAAAGATCCATCCATGTGATTTGAGCAACGATTGATACTTCTTTCACCCTCATGCTCCGTGGCACTGAATTATCCAACAAGGATCCAAGAAAATTCAATCAAGAGAAGCACTGAATTATTAGTGCTCACGGGATGGGACTGGCCGAGCGAGTGCTTGATGGCGAGCCCGGTGGCCTTGTTGACGAGCGCGAACGCCGGGTACCCCTCCTCGTCCTTCACCCTCGTGCTGCGCCTCATGTCCTTGTACCAGTGCTGCAACCGCCCATATGCATGATCGATTGAGCTTTACAATTGAATGGAAATTAGCTAACTGACGAACAGGGGAGGCTGCCTTGCCTGGTACTCGTCGTCGGGGTCTGCTGCCGCCATGACCACGGCGGCATCGCCATCGTCTCCGCCGCGGACGGTGACGCAGTACCCCTCGTCGGCGCGGCACAGGATCTTGAACGTTTTTTGCCCCGGACTAAACATGCTTCTCGAGCAACGAATGGGGAGGGAGGAGTGATGCTCGGGTTGTATATTGAACCAATGAGGAGGGAGGCCGGCCGTCTACAGCTCTCCCAAAATTGTGCTCATCACGTACGGTTGACTTATAGCTTCACAAAGCTGGCAATCTACGTACCTCTCTCCTTCAAGCTAGGCTGTATGGTAACATGGATGTAACATGCGGCGCACGCGACCTCGTATGGGAACCAACCAAACTAGGAGAATATGGTAACATGGAGGGAGAGCATCCATCATTATGCATCTCACATGCGGCCGGCGCATGTGGGAACCAGGTAAGTAGCCAGCTAAACGCTCTAGATCTCGTATTATACGAATCTAATAAATTTATCGAGCCAAGAAATTTGTCTTTTCTTGTTTGGAATGGCCAAACCTTATCCACTAAGGCAACCAAATTTTAATCATAGATTAAAATCGTGGGAGAAATGATTTCGCGGCGGCCTCTCCCAGCAGCTATAGCGGCCGCCATAGCAGGCAATCGCGGCAAATAACGGAAATTTTTCTGGTGGGAGAGAAGATTTCTGGATGGTTTTGCTCATTGTTCATCCATTTAGAGGGATTTGTGGAGGATTTCGCGATAGTAGCCATAGCTTAGCGGCGAGGCTCCGGGACAGCTATAGGGCAGCTATTGCGGCTATTTCGCAGGCTATTTTAATGTATGATTTTAATACAATTACATCGGCAACAACGTTTACAGCTAGATTTTCCTTTTCTTTCGAGTGTCGCAGCCCCCCTCTTTATTCTCCGCCAAGGGTACCTGTCTAGCTGACGTCCTGCTCCTCATGTATCCCCGTAGATTGAATCCAAGCAACCGTACAAAACCTTCCTATCCCTGGTGTTCAGAATTGCGCTTCACGTTCACCCTGCTCTTTAGCCTCCTCGTGGCTCATACTCTGTGATCCTGGATATCTGCAGGGTCGAAGAACGCGAGAAAGGCAAGATACAACTACGATGTAATTTTATTTCACACATACATAACGTTAATTCAAAGTCATTCCATCGATCCATCAAACAAATACATCGGGTTCCAAGGTATGTCTCAACCCATGACCTTATCGAATTACCCACACATGGCGATCGGATTGTAGGAAGAAATCATCAAAGAACACATCAGGATAAAAGTTTTATTGATAATATGTCTTACAATGGCTGCCAGATGCAATACACGATTACAAGTATGGCTAACTTGGAGGTGGTTTGTTGTGGTGATATTGATGGCGGCAGCTATGGGAAGAGATGGGAAATTGGTAGGCTTCATGAATGTCTTTCCATGCGGAGATGGAAGTTTCGGCGAGGCTCTTTTGTGAATCTGACAAAGACCCCTTTATAATAATTGATTGGTTGGACAAGACAGTGTCGTGGCCACCTGGTACCGCTCGTACCAGACGCTATCTTGTGCTCTATTTTTTATCGTGCGCCTCCCACTTGATCTCTTCTATTTCCATTGTGTTCCTTTTCATGTATATGCTTGATTTTATCCATACTAGCAAAAGGGCCCGTGCGTTGCAACGGGATAATAAATTTGCAGCCTTAAAAATCAAGTGATTGATATCCTAATACAGTACATTTAGTTGATCCACTCCATGACACAAGCTTTAGAGGCCATTTGTCATGAATCAAAATGAATCAAACAGATGAAGTGATATGTGTAAGTACAATCTCAACGCACTTCGAGGCTTACGTTCTCTTATTGCAGACATATGTAGCTATTAACATCATTAATGCATCATTATTAGGAGTAATAATAACCAATATGACAACTTTGTAAAGTATTTTCTGTTACGAGATAATTCTTGTTCCCTACCTACATATGTAGGTTGAACTGAATGAATTATACAGTACTATCTTAGATCAAGTGTGAATCTATATAATCCGGTGTAGTAGCGCCATAGTCTTCTTCACAGATTGTGTGATTTGTGAAATATTCTCGTACTACATTGTCTTGTTACACCGTCTTGTATCGTCATCAAGTCCTAATCAGAAGCAATGTTCAGCTGATAAGAATTCTACCCAAAATGGCAATGATGCTGACATTCAATTAGTTCCTAATCATCAATCCCACATACAGTTGGCCCCTCTCAAATATGCAAGAATCAGAAAACAAGTACTATCGCTAATTGACTACTTGACAATGTCGATACAATAAATCAGTAAAAAAAAACACATGCAAGTGAGAATATCTGAACCGACACTGTTGCTCCTCCTCACTAACCTTAGTGACTTGGCTGTCTTCATTAGATTTCCCAGATTTTTACTGATGGCCCTTTCAGTGCACCAGCTCAAAGAAATATGTCATCCTTCTGCTTATCGGGCTTGGAATTGGTGTGTCTCTTTCATCAGCATACTGAAGGAACTCCTGAACAACATAAAGTCCAATAAAGTAACTTAATCACTGAAAGTTCTTCCTCATACATGAATACAAATGCACAATGTCTAAAATGAATTGGATTCAACAGGAGTAGTAATGGGCCAAGCTAACCGTAAGGCTCATTTGAATGGTTCAAATGTGTCATGAATGAAGTTACCGAAAGTGATAACAATGTACTACTCTACCGTAATTGTTTCAACAAACGGCAATGTCCCACATAGTCCAGTTTTGTAAAAGGAAAATGCCGAATCTGCACCTAGCAAAATAGGATTAGGAGGTTTTCAGTTAGGGGGTGGTGGGGATTCATTCACAGTTAGGTTCAATGCTCATCAAGTTATTTCCGTAAAAAGGAAATAGTGAGATGAGGTCATCGTCATCTAACAGATAATAAATTAGTCAATGCCACCCATGAAAAAAATGAGGTCAACACTGTTCAGAGAAGAATGGAACTCACTGTATTAGGATACCAAACTCTCACTATACGCTTATCAGTAGTTATCACTTATCAGTTTAGGTTCAGTAGAATTAAGTGTCTGGTGCAACTTGATATTCAGAACTGCACTGCCATACCTGCAATAAATTAAAAATACACGTTACATACTTAGTGAAAGTTTGGATACACTTTTAAAAGGCACAAAGGTGTATTTATACAAAACTGAAACTATATATTCACTTCGGCATGATATTTCCTGTAACAAATGCCCGTGCATTAATCTGTACAATATTGCCAATTCTGACTAAACCTTGTGTTACATGTTAGTTTGTATAATAATGTATTTTTTTTAGGGGTTAAGTAAAAGTACAGTACAGACTTTAACTTGGAATTATACTGTGTATGTCAGAGTGCTATGTAGCACCTCCTATTTAGTTATCCATTCAAAATCAGTGTTCCAGACATATCTGAAAGCAGTGGCACTACATGCATCTGATGGTCCGACCCCATCAGGATCTGTTTTCTTGCAGTTTTCTCTGTATTTGAATGCCGATGAATTCGCAATAAATAATGACTATTGTTGTAACATCTCACACAGATTTTTTCAGTGATATGCCCAAAAGGACCGCGTAATGGATATTTTAGATAGAGAAAGGAGAGCACGGACATAATATGTTTTGGAACACTAACAAAGAACATGGCATAGGGCTGAGCTGAAACTTCACAAAACCTAATGCATGAGACGGTACAGGAATAGTAGGGCCAAGCAACATACCTGCAAGTTTCACTGAAGACACAGCCTAAATGGTAATTCAGACACCAAGAGCATCTACTAACAGGAAGAGGCTACAAAACTTACCTCCAGCAGACATGCCGGCTGCGACCGCAAGAGCCTCCAGCAGCCTGATCGCAGCGAGCCTACTCTTTGGCCTTGCCAGCATATCCCGGGTCACCACCCTGCATGGTACCTCATGTACAGTACTGACAAGCACACAACGAAATATCTGCCATGTTAAAATCGATCACACAAACTTACTGAAACTATTGTCGCACATCTCGTCAAGCATCTCCATAGTATGAGGCTAACCAGAATGTCATGCGCTGGGTGAGGAAGAAAGGATGTGGCTACGTACAGTGGGTCATCGGCTGCAAAATCTTTACTGTGAAATTTAATAGAAAAATAATAACATTGCAGTTGTGCTATTTCTAGTTGGATGCATAAACAAATTTGGGTTTAATCTCTGAAACTAAATAGATGATTAATTGGATGAAAGAACATTCAGATAGAAAACATTGGGGTTTAATCTATCAGCACAACCAACATTTAATCAGGGACGGCATGCTCCTTAGTCCGCCAAAACTATATGTAGTAAGAGAATACTTATTGGATAACAGAAAACAACAGAAGGAGAAATAATCAACCATAATGATGACCAGTAAGATAAGGAGCATAGAGATGTCCATGTGAAGAGTGGTTCAAACATGGCGAGAACTGAATGGCAGTCATCGCCAACCAAAAGCAGTTGGTGCAACCCAGATTATGAACCTGCAGCCATAAAAAACAAAACTAAGGCCTGCATCAAAACAGCTGTTAACCAAACATATCGAACACATCTTCCTGGCGACGAATTTTAAGAAGTCAGCAGTACAATTCTATCTACATCAATCAGCCAGAAGGCACTGGAGCTCGTACCATGGGTGGAGAACGGGTGGACAGAATTTCGCTGAAGTTGCAAAACGGCAAGATTCTGGCAAAGTCCGCAAAACTGCGATGCAGCAATGTCGAGCATGGGAAGCAATTGAGCAGGGGTTTCCGTTGAGGGGTCAAGGCGTTCTTATACATGCCTACATCGGCTTGCAGAACGGACAAAGGAATCACTGTCAGACACCCTGGGATGTGTACTCGAGCAGAGTTCATATTGTAGTGTGGTAGGAGCTGCCCAACCTCGAGCGGGGTGGCGGGCGGCGAGGTCCCATGCGATGGATTTCAGTGCACTCAGCGGCGTTGTTCGCAGCAGGAGCCAGGCAGATTGGCCCAACGGCCGGCAGAGTGCGGCGGTAAGGAGTGGCTGGTGACGAATCCGGCGGGGTTGCGGGAACCATTGTCGAGGTGGAAGCAGCGGGGAGGAGTCCCAGCGGCACCATGATAGCTGGGGCGGGGCGGGA